TTTAAATCTAAATTTATTATTTTGTCATTATCATTTCCGGAATTATCATCTTCATCGTCAAATGATAACTTAAATCTTTTTGATTTGATTGTCACCTTTTTAACTAGAACTATATCACAAACTTTTTTTGTCAAATGAAATTCCGACAAAAATTTTCTAATGCGTTTTACGTTTTTTTTTTTTTTTTTCCTCGTACTTTTCAAAGAGTTAAAAACTTTTATAATTTAAATCCAAAAAAGTGGCACATGATAAAAACGAATTATTGTAATATGCTTTAACTTACAGGGCCAGCACAAGTAGGTAACACCTAGAGAGCACCGTTAAAATTTCAGCTGACTAGAAAAAGGAAAAAACAATCCTTGTTTTTTTAAATTTACCAAGTGACTGCAGTCACTTGGTAGTTGAACAGTACTGTTCAAAAAATCTACATTTGCCGACTTACTTATCTAAAAGAGTCAAATTGGCTTACTGAATGAGCTAAAAGTTCATTGATGGGATGTCACACAGAAAATCAAACACCCCATTCCCTCACCCCTCTGCGCTGGTCTTGGTAGCTTATTCAATTCTAAAAATATTTGTGTTTTACCATGTTTACTTTTTGGATTTTAAAGAAATATTTTCTTGAAGTATCTTGTTAAACCTTTGGCATTAAAAATTGAAAGAAAATTACTTTGATATTTTTTTATTTTTGCGGTATTATGCGGTAAAATGATAAAGCATTAGCAAACTCATTCAAAAATTCTAATAGAAATGATATCATGAACCCAAATAATTTATATTATATATTTATAAACTTCTTTAGTTGGACTAAAAACAAAGTCAGGTATATTTAGTTAACTAAAAACTTAGTCGGTTAACTAAAAAGTTTGTAGACTAGTTTTATTTAGACTATAAAGTTAGTCAGGTAATTTAAGTTAGCTAGAAAGTTAGTCGGGTAATTTTAGTTAACTAAAAAGTTAGTCGACTAATTTTAGTTAACTAAAAAGTTAATCGGGTAATTTCAGTTAACTAAAAAGTTAGTCGACTATTTTTAGTAACGGTTTTTTTAGTTTAGTTACAATTTTTAGTTTTGGTCACAACACTACAAAAAAACGTTTTCAATTGAAATCTCTTAAATTGTTCCTGCATATATTAAAAATTTACTTACTATTACTATTCAAATAACAGCAATATAATCTTTACTTTGTTCTAAAATTGCTAATTTAATATTGATCAGACCAATTTTATATGAAGTATGAAATAGCTTTACAAGATCTTTTGTTTTAGATTAGCATTTAGATGCTAATTTAAAGATATTTTTAAACTGATAACGCCAAAAGAAAAAAAAATCTTATAAAAACTCAGTCGGGTAGCCACGAATTTCCTCTACGTGACACTTAAAGAATAAGCATTTTGTTGCTCAAACGCTAACAAAAAAGGAAGTGTGAAATATTTCACACTAGAGCTCTGGTTTATGAAAGCTTGTTGGTTTTTATTTGGTTGCTTAGGACACTGGAACTACATAGATACGACTAGTTCGAATTTTATTAAATGTAATTAATACTACAATTGGGAGTTACTAACATTTCTCAATTGTAGTAATACTAATATTTCAACTAGTTTTTTCTCATTGTAATAACAATAAACAAAATTATAAGTACACCAATAAGAGTCGAATTACTTTTTTTTTTCTGAACTTTCCAAGTAGTTTGCACTCACAAGTTTTGCTTGAAGACTGGAATCCAATGAATCAATAAAACCATTAAAACCTGCTTTTATACTTTCTTTTTTTTAAAACACCATTAGTCTCACTTACAATAGCAAAATCAAAACTTAAGTAGTTGTTTTTATATTGAAATTGACGAATATAAAAATCTTCTTGGTTGAAGATTGAGCGACGTCTGAGAAATAAAAGCGTAAAAAAATGTTTTTCAAATTAAAAAAAATGTCTTGAAATATCTTTTATTATTAAACAATTTCTTAAATAAAAAAAAAAAAAAAAACAATGAGTAAATATTAAATACAATTAATTACTACAATTGAGAGTTAAGATTGTTTTTAAAGTTCTATTACGTTTTAAAAAAAATTGAATTAAAGGTTTCATAAAAAAATTTAAACAACTGGTTTCTAAGTGCCAAAAACTGAATAGCAACACTAATAAATAGTAATTTTTTGTTTGTGTTATCATTCTAATTCATAAAATAGGATTGCAGCATTAATATCAGTTTGGTTTTTAAAATTTGACATTTTAAGAAAGTCTCTTAATTTAGGTAAAGATGCAAAACGCACTTTTGCTATAGAATATAGGTATCTAAAGCAATTAAATAAACAATCAAATGGTACCATGAAATACTTGGTATGAAATATACTCCACCTGGCAAATATGGGGAAAAACTGATCAATATTTTAAAAGTTATTACTTTTGTTCAGCTATTTGAAATAAGCTGAATATAACCTCGCTGCTGTTTTTTCATTTTTTATCCTTTATATAAAATCCCATTTAGATCTGTCTGTAAATGTAAACGTCTTTAGCATATAATGAGTTATTTTATCACAGAATTTAGTTTAGTAAAAATCACATAATCTCAGACAGCATCTCCTTTCCTCACAGCCCAATTGCAAACGGCTAGTTTGCCATAGCATATTACTGCGAATATTCCAGACTCACGTTCCTTTTTTATGCGCTTTTTTAAACCCTTCTTTATTTCTACAGTTTCAGTACGAAAGTCTTCATTTATAAAATGCTTAAAATTACTTACACAGAAATGTAAATTTAACTTAAACGCTTAAAATTATTTCTGTATGATACTTTTTCATAAAAAATAGCTTACTTGCTTAAGTAAAATAAATAAATGTAAACAAGCCATCCGAAATATGCAACATTCTTATCAATATCTTTAATTGGGACTAATATTAAAATATTGGCGCATTTGCGTCGGCAAACTTATTTCGTTTTCGACGTTTAATAAAAAACTAAAAATGTTAAAATAACGTTAAAATTTTTAACGTTTATTTTGAACCTTGAATTTACGTTGAAATAACGTTAATTTATATTTAGTTCACAATACCTGCTAGCTATTTGCTGATGATAGTAAGTTAATTGCTGTATTCAAAAACCAAAAAGATTATAAAATATTACAAGATGATCTCAATAAAATCTTTGAATGGGCAAAAAATATGTATATATATATATATATATATATATATATATATATATATTATATATATATATATATATATATATATATATATATATGTATATATAATACAGATACGCATGTATATATAATACAAATACGCATGTATATATAATACAGATACGCATTTTACATACATATACCACGTCACATTGCATGCATTAAAACCAAATGCAAAATAAATTTCATGTCAAAATAACATTTATTTGAAATTAAATAAAAAGATAAATAAATATTTTTTTTTTATAATTTTTAATAATTTTTTTAATAATTTTTAATAATTTTTTTAATAATTTTTAATAACTTTTAAATATTTATAATAATTTTTAATTGCTTTTTTAATAATTTTTAAATAAATATTTTTTTTAAATTAAATTATTTATCATTTAATTAAATTTATTTGCTTACGCTCGTTTTGATTGAATGCCATTTTTATCATTTTTTTACAAACGGCCTCATATGCCTTTCAATAATTAAATTTACTTCTGATGTAAACTATACGAAGGCATAAGAAGACGAGTTTTCGTTATCGCTATCGTGTAAAATATTATTAAAGTCAATAAACAATAGAAGTGACAAAAACTAATGTAACTTTAAAACCACAAAATTATTTTTTTTTTTTTGTATGACTATTAGCGATTTAAGTTTTTTAAGAATCTCATCAGTTTTACAAAAGTAACAATAAAACAAGACCGTTATTATTCAAAACTAAAAATATAATACCAATAAAAACTATAGTAAATGAAGTTTTAATGACTAGGAAACTATTGTAAATGAAGTTTTAACAACATCCCAACTTTGACATAACAAATCTATGACAGTATTTTTTAAAAAAAATTTTATTTAATCGTAATACAAAAAGAGTTTTTCAAAACAATAAACTGATTTTAAAAACTAAACTCTGTCTTAAAAATTGGCGAATTAAGTCTTGAAAATTAACAAGTGCTGAAAATAAATTTTTTTTTTTAGAACTTAACTTTCTTGTGGAAGGCATATTTTTTATGTGATAAACGCTTAACATTAGGGTAATTTAATGCTATAGTTGATTTTGTTATTAAATCAAAAAAACACAAGCTACTTTCAAAAATATTTGGGTTATAAAATGACCTTAATTTTTGAATCAATTTATCTGTAAAAATAAAAATTCCAAAAAAATATTTTTGGTACTGTTGTTAAGCTGTGGTTCTACTTTTTGCAATAAACAAATAAAAAGTAATTGTATCTTTAAGTCATTGGTTGAACATTGGAAGAACGTACACCTCAAATATTTTTGTCATCATAAAACCTTAGATCTTTTTTCTTTAGCCGTGTTTATCGATTATCAATATTACACGATCAGATGTTAAAGAGCCTATTAATATCAAGCAAACCAAATATTATTATAAATAGCATTTGCACAAATTATATATGAGTTTAACACCAAAAAAGATTTTGACGCGCATTTTCAAATGGTATTAAGACGATGCAGATACATGCCATGATAAAATTTTTGAACAAATGAGTAATTAAGTATTGAATGATAAGCACTTATTTGTTTAAAAATGGATTTAATTTAATTTTAATAAAATACTAAAAAACTATCTCAAAGATTGCACTGATCATGACATCAGCTTCTTTTTTATTTTTTTAATAAAGACATTTTTGTAAACGATTAAAATATGAAATAATTTAAAAATGAAATTATTTTAATCCATTCACTAAATTCTAATAAACTACAAAATTTTTAAAATTATAGTTTTTTTTTTCTTATTTACATTGAGCGATTTTAGAAGAAAAAATCATATTAAAAACTAATATTATATTGATTGGTTTTATTAAAAAAATAAAAAATTCTTAAAAGACGAGAAAAACACTTGTTTGCTTATTTTAAATGTTGTTTACAAAAGATTACTTGAGTAAATGGTTAAGTTGAAAAAATAAATAAATTAAAAAGACAAGAGGTAATAACAATTCCTTTTTGTATTTTACTAAATAAAATATCGTATTTGATACAAAATACAGAAATGAAATTGTTTTAGGATTCATACGCACACATATTAAAGCATTCCAGCTTTGAGTTATGTAACTTTAAATTTTAAAAAAAGAGCATTTTCATCAACTACCATATATATATATATATATATATATATATATATATATATATATATATATATATATATATATATATATATATATATATATATATATATATATATATATATATATATATATATATATATATATATATATATATATATATATATATATATATATATATATATATATATATATATATATATATATATATATATATATATATATATATATATATATATATATATATATATATATATATATATATATGTATATATATATATATATATATATATATATATACATATATATATATATATATATATATATATATATATATATATATATATATAGGGGAGAGCGGGGATGGTTGTCACGAGGGTTGGTTGTCACAAAGTTTATTACAGGAAATGTAAATAAGATATAGAAATTTCAAATTATGCAATGGAAATGTTATATAAAAAAAACACTTTTACAGTAATTTTTATCTTTTTTTAGCGTTCAGAAGAAAAGTTATTTGTTTTTATAGGTTTTTGATATGAAAAAGTAAAGTTTCGCCTACTCAGAAGTTTTCTTTTACCAAACTAAAATTATTTTATTGTGTTTTGAATGTAGATTTATAAAGTACTTTATTCATTTGAGTAGTTACTTTATATTATAGAAAAAGGATTGGGTCAAAACAGTAGAATTAAAGTACTTTAATTCTACTGTTTTGACCCAATCCTTTTTCTATAATTATACTAAACATTGGATCGGAATCTAAAGTTATGCACGTTGAAATAAAAATAATTTAGATTACAGATATTTAGTTAAACAAATATAACACTTTGACTTTAGATTTTTAAATAATATCTTAAACACTAAAATATTCCTCAATAATGCGGAAAATAAACAAAGCCACTAAATATTCTGCAAGCAGCGTTTAATTTGCAGCGCATGGAGTCGAGGCAAGTGTGACAACCATTTACCTAAAAGGATTTTACGGATTAAGTTAACTTAATCTGTAAAAAATTATCATGAAATTCTCACGCTTTTAGGTAAATGTACAGGTGTCCAGCAACTTACTCAGAAAGGGGTTGCATGTCACAAAATATATGGGGATGGTTGTCACACTTGCCTCGACTCCATGCGCTGCAAATTAAACGCCGCTTGCAGAATATTTAGTGGCTTTGTTTATTTTCCGCATTATTGAGGAATATTTTAATGTTTAAGATATTATTTAAAAATCTAAAGTCTAAGTGTTATATTTGTTTAAGTAAATATCTGTAATCTAAATTATTTTTATTTCAACGTGCATAACTTTAGATTCCGATCCAATGTTTAGTATAATTATAGAAAAAGGATTGCAGAAGTTCAACTGTTTATTGTTTACAAACTAAACAATAAAAAAAAGCGGTTAGCTATGATTCTTACTAACACGCCTGTCAAAGCATGGCTTGCTAATTATAAAAAGAAGAAAACAAATAAAAAAAAATTTACTAATGGAAGTAAAAAAGAGTTAATAAAATCAAATCTTGCTACGAAAAAACCGTCTATAGTCTTAAATTCACCTGAAGATGAAAAGTTTTCTTAGTAAAACATAAACGAAATTAATTTGTACTTGTTTTACATTAAATTCTTATCTAAACTTGTCAAAATCCAAATGTGACAATCAACCCCGCACCATGTGACAACCTACCCCGTGAGCGGAGCTAGTTGTCACACAGAAGTGGTCTTTGAAAAATAATTTTACAGCAATAAATATTACACTCAATGTCATAAAAATATAATAATAGTTACTGGAAATAGTAAAACTAGCTTTGTGCAAAGTTTGGCATTGATTGGATGAAAATTAAAAGCTGAGCAACCTAAAATGTAAAAAGTGTGACAACCAACCCCGCTCTCCCCTATATATATATACATATATATATAGGGGATATATATATATATATATATATATATATATATATATATATATATATATATATATATATATATATATATATATATATATATATGTATAATATATATATATATATATATATATATATATATATATATATATATATATATATATATATATATATATATATATATATATATATATATATTTTAGAGTCATCAATACAATGATTCTTTAATTTGATTACTTACAAAATAGATCATCAATTATATATAAAAATTTAACTAAATGAAAAAAAAAGACTTTATGATGGAACTAAAAGTTTCATGCCGTTTCAACAATCATCAGCCTGATATATACTTTTTAATCTTTGTTGTTCAATTTAACAAAAGCATTCGATACAGTTGACCACAAGATCCTCCTGCACAAACTAGAGATGTATGGAGTAACAGGCAACAATCTAAGATGGTTCAGAAATTACATAAATAACAGGAAATAAAGAGTGTCGTACAACACAGCATGTACACGGTACAAACAATAAAATGTGGTGTACCTCAAGGCTCCATTCTTGGACCTTTACTACTTTTAATCTATGTGAACGATACTCACTTAATTTCAAACATTCTTAATTTTACTCGTTTTGCAGATGATACAAATATTTGTTTTACTCATTCAAATATAAAAACAATATTTTCTACAGTTAATCACGAGCTGCAAAGCTTAAACGAGTGGTTTAATGCTAATAAACTTTTCTTAAACATCCTCAAAACTAAATATGTTTTATTTCACAAATCATCTAATTCTGTTAATTTACCACTAAAGCTTCCCCAGATTATGATCAATAGCATTAATATAGAAAGAGACCATTCAATGAAATTCCTAGGAATAATTTTTCAAGAAAATCTTAGTTGGAAGAATCATATTTTGCACATCGAAAATAAAATCTCCAAGTCAATCGGCATCATGCATAAAATAAAACACCTTCTAAATAAAACTTGCTTAAAAAGTATATACTATTCGTTCATTCACAGTTATATCAACTATTGTAATATCGTTTGGGCAAGCACATACTCTTCAGTACTAAAAAAGATATATGTAAAACAAAAGCAAGCGTGTCGAATTGTATGCAATGCTAACAGATATACCCATGCCAAATCATTATTCAGGAAAATTGGAGCTCTAAATGTTTATGAACTGATTCCAAAATGTATTATTTATGTTTCGATCGCAAAATAATTTACTACCAAAATACTTTGAAAATCAACTTTCCACCATTGATCACAAATGAAGGGCACAGGGGAAAAAGCAGACATGTCAAAAATTTCATATATTGAGTTTTTTCCTCTGCTACATAGAGCCCGACACAAAGTTACATCCTATTATGTTGTCCAACCGAAAAACCAGCAAAGTCTCGAGCATTTAGCATTTAAAATTATAGCCATCTGGGGAAAAACCAGACATGTCCAAATTGTACAGGGGAAGAAGTAGACATGTCCCCGCTGAGTCATGTGGTGTCGATTCACATTACTAGGTCAGCCAATCAGCGTTTAGCTTTGGTATAACAACAAAGTGCGTGCAAAATGGCGGATTGCTTTGACAGACCAGTTGTGACTGTAACGCCTCGAATGCAAAAAATTAATGGAAGGAAAAAAGATGCGGCAAAGATTAAACGCATAAAAAATCACACAATAGGTGAGGATTGCAAATGCAGCCGTTTAAAATGTTTTGAACAGATAAGTGAAGCTGCAAGACAATCACTTATTGAGGGCTTCAACGCATACTCAAGCAAAGACAGCCAAGATGCTTATCTGTCTACAATGGTAGTAGTTCTCCCTGTAAAACAATGTAGGTGTAGGGAAGGTGCAGACAAAAATTCTTATAAACCTAAAGAGATGAGTGTTAAGTATGTCGTAAAGGTATCAACAGGAACATCAGTGGAACTAGTGGCAGTGTGTGTGAAAGTCTTTTGCTCGCTCTTCGGCATCACAAAAAACCGTGTAGACAGTCCGCAAAGCAATGTCATTAACAGGTGAGTAGGAATTGGAATTAGTGCTTTTAATTTGTTGTTGATTTGAATAATACAATTTATAATTTTAGTAAAGATTATTATTGTTATTATTATTATTTTTATTGTTATTATTATTGTTATTATCATTGTTGTTTTTATTACTAGATCTATTATTATTGTTGTTATTTTTTTTATTTTTTTTTATGTGATCTGTGTGTATTTGTGTGAATACACGATTTTTTTTGTATAAGCAACTCGTTTATAAGCAACTGAACTCGATGTGAAAAAATACTTAGCAACTTCAGTTCTGAAAAAATGTTAACATAAGCAACTCATATATTGCAATTTTTTTCTCTGCAATGTAATGACTTCTTTTAGATAAACAATTTCAAAAAAAATTAATCACAGTAGTGTTGTTGTGTATGTTGTTGACAACGCTGTTAAGATCATGAGTAAGAGAAAGCAGACAAATTTGTTCAACTTTGGTTTTACCAAAAAGATTTGTCATCGTGGTGAGTTGGTAGTAGGAAGGAAAAAGAAGATAATTTGCAACCATTAAGCAACTCGAGATATAGAAATTGGCTGAAAAATAAGCAACTCGAGTTCTGGCCAAAATTCTAAGTTGCTTATACAAAAAAAATCGTGTATAAGTTTTATTATTCATCTTCTTTTTAATTTATGATCTTTAATTTATGGAGGAAATAAAGATTATTATTATTATTATTATTATTATTATTATTATTATTATTATTATTATTATTATTATTAATATTATAATGGATTTAATAGTGATGTTATGTCTTGCTTATTTAGCTATGAATCCTACAGGACACTGTTTAACACGAAATTCAACATTGGATTTGGTTACCCACGGAAGGATACTTGTTCCACATGTGACGAATTCATCGTGAAGTTGCAGCATGTGGATGGTGACATCGCCGATGCCGAAAGCAATGGTAGAGATGTTGCTGGTCTGAACAGCAAAAAAACTGAACTACTCACAAACCACGAGCTGCACAAACGCAAGGCCAGCACATTCTACGCAAGGAAAGCTGCAGCTAAGGAAAGGGCAAGAAAATGTGACAAGTTTGAAGCCATCTGCTTTGACTTCGCCAAAAACCTACCAGTGCCAAACAAGTCCACCAATGACGTTTACTATCACAGACAGCTCAGCCTGTATACGTTTGTAATCTATGTATTATCAACTGATGAAGTGTATATGTATACATATGATGAAACAGTAGCAAAAAAGGGTGCTGACGACGTTTGTTCATTTCTTGCTGACTTCATCCGCAGCCACATTTCTGAAGCCGTGGACGAAATCAGTTTCTTCTGCGATGAGTGTAGTGGTCAAAATAAAAACTACACAATGATTAGGTTCTTATACAATCAGGTACATGAACGCAAGAGATTCAAGTTGGTGAAAATCACCTTTCCGATAAGAGGCCACTCCTACATGGAGTGCGATAGAGATTTTAGCAACGTCAACATGACAAAGAATGTAGACTTGCCAGAGGACTGGTTAGCAGAATTTGCAACTGCTCGATCACGTCCAACACCTTTCACGGTCATCAGGGCTACACAGGACATGTTCTTCGCCTACACAAAGTACTTTCGACCTTCCTTCAAAGCCGTATGTCCTATAAAGACAGGCCCAGTCAGGGAGATCCACATTTTGGACTCTCGTCCATTGCTTGTTCTCTACAGGGATTCCTGGAATGGTGGGTTTGTGTCTGCTGTATTAAAAAAAACACGGACTCGGCGTGGGAAGAAGCAGCCACAGATGTCTGTCCTTACAAAGTTGTATGAAAATGGTCCTCTGCCCATCAGCTCAGAAAAGTATAAAGACCTTCAAGTATTGAAAAGGTTTTGCAGCCCTACAAATCATCAGTTCTTCGATGAGCTCCCTCATAGTGGATCAGACACTGCTAGAGTGAACCCAGGTAATGAACTCAGTGATTTATCGGAGAATGAGGATTGAATTTGTTATGTTGAATCCCTTGTTTCATTTTTATGTTGCAACTGTAGCTTGTTTTATTTTTCCTACTTTGTTCTTGTCTGCTGTTTGTGTATGTTGTGCAGTTGTCATGAAATTAAGCTTTTTGTCAATTACAAAAAATGTCTCGCTATCACTTTGGAATAAAGTGTACGTGTACACACCAAAATCCCAGTACTCGCTATGATAACTTTAATTTAAAGCAGACCGATCACAAATGCATGAAAATATGTATAAGATTGATTTATATGGCTTCTAATGTCATTGTTTAAGCGTCCCATAGCATTATGAGTATATCTGGAGAATAAAGCTTAGCCTATTTTGGAATATTTTGGATTCAGGGGAAAAAACAGACATGTCACAAAATCACCTCTTGTGTGATTTTTTTAGTTTAAATCCCAACGGTCATAAAAAAACATACAAACTTTATCATTTATAGCAATGATATTGGTTCGGCTTGCTGTATGCAGAATCTCAACTTTGTATTCTGTATTTTTGATCATTGAGGAGTGTTTGAACTTTTAAAATGGGTTTTCTCAAAACTTGCAAAATGCGACATGTCTGCTTTTACCCCTTCAAATATCCAACAAAGTTCTCTTTTTTAATCTTTAAGACTCCAAAAACTTTACTTAAAATAACTGATTTCTCTATCTAATCTCGAAGACCGCGGCTATGGAATTCGATCTTTAAAGAAAAAATAAAAAACATGAAGTCATCAAATCTTTTCAAAGCAGCTGTCAAAAAGCACCTATTTAACTTAACGTCAACATACTCTCCTACTTTTAGAGATCAAATTAATAATAACTAAAACAAACTTATCCCTTTTTGATGACCACAAACGATGATTATATCACGATACAAATAGTTTTTCTTTGCTATACCCGTCTATCAGATCGTTACGTACTTTGTTTTTTACGTACAAGGCTAAGTATTTGCTTTATTTCAACTTATGAATTTTTAATGTCATGGTAAGCTCAAGTGAAACTTATTGCAGAGTCGCAATTGAAAGGGGCTTGATAATAAGACTGCAGTCTTCTACTTGTTTCTGTCATTATTTTAATTTTTATCTTATTTATAAATGTATGTATGTAAAATATACAGTGACGAAATAAATTAAAAAAAAAAAAAATCAAGAAAACCGTTAAAAATACAAAATACTAAAACAACAATAGAATGGGTTATGACGTCAAAACAAAGCAAAAAGTAACTTAGAAACTGGATTAACCACCGGTATCGAAATTACCCAGAAGAAATGTATTTCTATTTTCGAAAATTCTACTGATATGTATAACGAAGCATTATTGAAACAAAGTTTCGTTCATAAGCTTTCTTATTATCCTAACTTAAATGCAACTCATGCTAAGAACTGTAAACGCAACATTACTTTGTTTAACCCCCCTCTCAGCAAAAACTTTAACACAAATATAGGTATGTACAAATATAGGTACAAATATAGGTGCTTGATATGGGTTAAAAAACTTTTTTTTAACCCATATCAAGCAATTCCACCATATATAAGCAATTCCCTGTTAATCACAAGCTCCCTAAAAATCTCAATAGAAACACAATAAAAGTTACAGCTGCATGCCAAATATGCAATCTATCTTAAATGCACACAATCGTCATATTTTAAACAAAAACAAAATTTCCGCTAAAAACAAATGCAACTGCTTTGATAAAAAGACCTGCCCATTAGCAAATCAATTCCTAACAAATAACATTGAATACCAAGCTAATTTAACCTCCAATGATCCCGCTCAAACCTATATAAACAAATTTTGCATCGTTATAAGAAAAACACCTTTCAAAATTAGATACGCTAATCACATATAAACATTTAATATTATCAGGTATAAAAATGACACTGAATTATTAAGGGAGTTTTGGATATTAAAAGAAGCTAATTTGAATCCTATAGTTAAATAAAAAATAATTAAACAGTGTAATGCTTATAACCTTAAAAAAACGTAATGCTTATAACTACTAAAAAATCTTGTAATTTATGCTTAAATAAGAAATATGAAATTCTATTTGAAATCTATGTTTATTAAATAAAAGGGAGTGAAATAATATTTGACATAGAAATAAATTCCTTCTGGCTTACTTCGATACTAGTGAATAATTTAGTTTCTACATTACTTTTTGTCTTACTTTGACGTCAGAAACCATTCTACTGTCGTTTTTGCATTTTTTATTTCAAAGTGGCATGAAACTTTAAATTCCATCATAAAGTTGTACTATTTCACTTAGTTATATTTATATATATATATATGTAATACTTAGTTATATTTATATATATAAGAAGGAGAGAGAGCGAGAAAATATTTGAAAAAATAATATTTTGAGATATTTAAAGTTCATGCCTTTTGGTAATCATCAGCTATATTCTATTCTTTAAAACAAGAAAAAACCGTTAAAAAATACAAAATTTAGAAAATAACAGAAAAAACAATAACAAAGCAGTAGAACGAGTTTTGATGTCAAAACAAAATTATTTTTAATTAAAAAATTGCTTAATCAACCGTGTCGAAAAGGACAAGAAGAAACTTGTTTCCATGCCTAAAGTGAAAATTAAGCAATTTTCTAATTAAAAATTGTTTTGTTTTGACGTCAGAACACATTTTATTGTTTTGTTATTGTTTTTTCTGTTATTTTCTGTATTTTATATTTTTTAACGGTTTTTTCTTAATTTAGAGAATAAAATTTGGCTGACAATTGTCGAAAGGCATTAAACATTAAGTTCCACCACAAAATTGTTTTCAAATAGGCTAAATTCATATATATATATATATATATATATATATATATATATATATATATATATATATATATATATATATATATATATATATATATATATATATATATATATATATATATATATATATATATATATATATATATATATATATATATATATATATATATATATATATATATAAATCTTCATTTTTTTTCTAGGCAATATGAACTCTTTGGCATCTTTAATTATGATTTCTCTAATTCAGTTGTCAATTCAAAATGGTAATTTTATTCTGCTAATATATTAGTAATACACTTTTTTTGATTCTTTTATTTAATATATAAATAAAATATTAATTTGAAGCAGTTTGTAATCTTAAACTGTTCAAAACATTTGTCAACAAAAAGTATGAAAAACTTTAATAATAATTATATATATTTTTAAAGGCACACGTTTAAATGTTGCCTTTAAAAATACAAAGACATCTAATATGATTTGAATGAAATATATTTTATTAACTATTTAATTACAAAAAAAGGTTTAAATGTAGGTTTAAATATCTTATGTGTATTTTATTAAAAACATTTATAATATTAATGTTTTTTATTAAAAACATTTATAACATTAATTATTTTATTAAAAACTTTTATAATATTAATTCTCAAAAACTGCTCAGTTATAGCTGTCTGAGCAAATGCATTTTTAGTTTTAGATAACTCCGTCATTGTTGTTTGTTAGGGATAGTCCATAAAGTACGTACGCTCGGAGAGGAAGAGGAGGTCTGCAAATGGCGTTTCTGAGATAAGGGGGCAGTAGGTCAATTATAAATGTATGGAGACACTAAATTAAAAAAAATATCATAAAATGTTGGGTTAGTAGGTTAAAAGCGTAGGTACTTTTAGGGAGGTAGAGAGTACTCAATAAAGTATACGGCAAATTGCGGGCAAATTGCGGCAGGGGAGGGGGAAAAGGGAGGAAGGGGGAGGGGTTGGCAAAAAAATGCGTACGTACTTTATGGACGACCTCTTTTTTTGTTTTTGATCAATAAAATGAAATAATGTCAAACAAATAAGATAAAGTCTATTCACACGTGCGTGAGAATAGACTCATACTTTTATTTTACTTATTTTTTGGTTTTTCTTTTTCTTTTATTTTTTATTTGCTCGTTTGTTTTTTGTTTTATCTATTTTAATTATGGCATTACCTTTTAACTAAAACAATTTTACTTAATTGTTAATATTTTTCCAAGCATCTTTCTTATTTCTCAGTTTATACTTAATACTCTTCAAAAAAATTTCGTACCCACCTTTATAAATATATATTCCGTGACAAAATTTTGGGATTTTTTCCAAAGATATAAAAGACGGCTTTTAAGACTAAAATTACAATAAAAATGCTTTTTTATAAATAATTGGTTTGAAAAGGGTTTAGGGTAAAATATACTAACTTTCTTTTATTGCGCAACATTTCACTCTAGTTGCGCAAGTGCGTAATGCATGCAATTTTTAGTTATGCTAGTGCGTAAGGCATTGTAATAACTTAAGTTATCGTGAAGTTTTTCTAGAAAGCGCAAATTGGAAATGCTTTATTCATAATGGTCTGCAAAATATAAAAGTATATACTTTTTAAATAAAAACTTTAATAAAGCTTGCAATTAATTGCAAAGTTTAACAACAAAAATTAATAGTAAAATGTAACAAAATGCCCACCAGTTACTGCGTTCTTGTGCGCTACCAACTTTTGTTTTATGTTTTATAATTACCTTTAAACGTTTTTTCAATATTGGAACCCATTTTGTAGTCATAGCAAGCAATACAATTGAATTTACTAAAAGCTCAAAAACCAATCATCAGGTTAATTAATCTTTTCTGTGAGTATTGACAGAACAATTAATTTCAAGAATGATATATGCCAATGAAACTGTTCTTACGTTGTCAATAAACATTGATAAGAAAGCCCTCTGTCTATGCTGATAACAAATACTTTGAAGCAATCCTGATAGCTCAAACGTAAAAAAGAAAAGCTGTAACGGAAGACTGCTTTAGACAAAAAATATTCGCGCCGTCCTGATTTTCATAATATCATCTTTAATGAACTGTTTCTCTGAATATAAGTTACCATTCAAGCTATTTAGAATTCTGCCTGATATCTTAACACGTCTTCATTCTGTTGAATTCAGAAGCAGTGTGACTGCCATTAGTCGTGTGTACAATATTTATAACTTAAATCTTGAGGCGATGAAATGATTTGATTTTTGGTGTACATATGTCCAAGCACAAAGAAAAAGGACTTATAAATACCAGCTGTTCATGTTTTATTAATTGCACTAACTCTACCGGCTAAAATCATCGCTGACGTCTTTCGAGACTATTTCTGTAGAACATTCATCACAATAGCTCAAACAGCAACAAGACTGAATTATATGTAGAAAGTTATTATACCTTTGTGTGGGACCCACACCGACAGCTTTTTCTTTTTAAAGATATTTAAGAATATTTTCACTTTTGCAGCTCTGCTACCGTTTGTTATTTTGTTTATAGTACTGCAATCAAAACTCTTTAAAATTATGTTTTAAGGTTTTAAGTGAACATTTATGTCATATTATACTATAATTATAAAACACTTGAACATTTATTAATGATTTTTTTCTGACTTATTAGGGATCGACACGTTTAGCAAAAAAGACAACATAAAAAAAAAAAAAAGGAAAAAAATGATATTCAAAAAATTTAATCCCCTAATGACCCCCATCTTGCATAAAATTCTGCGCACGCCTATGCTATTAATTTCATTTTTGATTGGTTTTTTAAACTATGTCATGGTGTTAAAACCCAGCCAATACAACTCAAAAATATTTTACGTTTTTTTGCTAACCTTCTAAAAAAATTCATTATACGTGCCAAAAATAGTTTCCATTCCGTAAAATTTTTTATTACTGCTTACCAAAAACACTAGTTAAAGTAAACACTAGTTACAGAAACGTATTTTTTTAAATATTATTTTATATATTTTATTTATATATTTGTTTAACAATCACTAAACACTAATGTAAATTAAAGTCTTTTTCAGGGCAAACAAAACATCTTGGATTTTTTCTTTTATCCTTTTTTTCTTAAGATTTTCTTTCAAACATGACATCAATGAATTTCTTTTAAGAATCTCCTTGAAGATTGGTCTTTGTCCATTATAGTTTTAGCACTCAACTGCACATTTTAGAATTTGAAGATTTTAGAATTTGATTTTTTTTTTTTTAGTTTGCATTATTTTTAGTTTGTGACTATTGCACAAACTTTTAATATTATTTAAAAACGGCTATGGAGTTGTTTTGTTTTTCAACTGCGACTTAATAATATAAAATGTCATTTTATTGTTCATCAGACGAATAAATATGTTTAGGTTATTTCGCTGTGTAATTATTGATATATCCTTAATAAAAGATAAGAAATATATATAATATTTGCTAATTTTTGATATGTATTATATTATACCAAATTTCCGATAAGAATAAAAAAAACAGTGGTAAAAACGCGCTTCATTCAAAATTGCTTTTAAAACCATAAATAACTCGTTTTAAAATCTAGAGTAAAACTGCCCGGGAAATAAATTTACTTTTTCTTTAAGCCTAAATTGTGACAATCATGTGTTTATACAAGTTTTATTTCCGAAAGTAAAATAAATGTTCCGGCTGGGTAAGAACTTGGACTTTTCAATTACGACAGAGAGTGAGCAGTAACAACAACTTATAACTATATTTTCATTTTTAATTAATAATTCAATTTTAAAAAAATCTCTTTATTGCTAGCAGACATACTCATGTCACAGCTGTTTAATAATTTCAAGTATTTCATTACATTTTATGGATTTTCGCGCAAATAAGAAATATTTATTATTAGGATAACTTTAATTAGAGATAAAACAAACGTCATTAGAGTTCCTTTTTTTTTTGAATGTAGCCAAATAAACTAAATATTTTGTAGAAATTTATACTATTATATAAATTGTATATAGATGAAGCTATTTGCCTTAACACAATTTATATAATAATTAATAAATATAATTAAAAATATGTGATTTACGTTTTTACTATTCATCATCAAAAAAAAAAAAATTAATTAAAAACCCTATTAGTTTCAAGTCATAAACAACCATAAACAATATTGTTCATGATTATATTGAATATAGTAAAGACATGGAAAGTATTATTTATAGAATAGTAAAGACATGGAAAGTATTATTTATAGAAAAGTAAAGACATGGAAAGTATTATTTACAGAAAAGTAAAGGCTTTGAAAGTATTATTTATAGAAAAAAACTTGGTTAAAAATTGTTCAGTGTTTCAAGTAAATATTGTTATCATAAGTATTTTATTTAAAAGAAGAAAACTTGATTCTGTAAACTTGTTACGTAAAACCTGTATATTAGTGACGGATACAGGAGGGGGAGATGGGCTTATGCATCATCTCTAACAGATTCTGAAATAATTCCTAAAATATCTCAGATATTGACGACTTTTTTATTTTTAGGAAACGCAAATGTTATACAAAATACAAAAATATTTTTATATTGTTAACAAACGATAAATTCCTGGATCCGTCACTGCTAATATATAAACCTTTTTTGTAATCAAATTTGTTGGTTTTTGTATGTTACTAGCATATTTTAATTTAAAAAATAATTAAAGATTTTATTTTAAATAAAATAAAATATTTTTACTGTATTTTTATATGCAATTTTGCTACAAATTTAGATTGCCGTGTAAGTGGTTGTGATAAAAATGAAGTATGCGAGGAAAGTAATGATGTAAATCAACAATATCATTGCAAATGTGATTCTAATTCTCTCTTGGAAAACGGAAAATGCATAGGTTATATATTTTGATTTATTTTTACTGTTTTAAACATCATAATACATCACGCAAACTTAACCTGCTTGCAAATTATATTAAAAAAACAGGATTTACATAATGAAAAGCTGTTTATTAAGCAGTTACAAAAACTGACTTAAGTGCAAACTGGCATAACTGTGAATTGGCATAAGTGCGCCAGATGAATTTGCAAATATTGGCATAAGAACGAATTGACAAAAGTGTGAACTGACATAAGTGAGAAGCAGTTACCAAAACTGATACAAGTGCGAACTGGCAAAATTGCATATTGGCTTAGATGCGCCGAATTAATTTGCAAACATTGGCACAAGTGCGAACTGGCATAAGTGCAAATTGGTATAAGTGAAAAATACTAACTTGCACTAAGGCTAATATTGGAAAATTTTAGACTAACATTTGAAAAATATTAGCCTAAAAAATATTTGCATTAGTGCGATTTTTCAAATATAAGCAACTAGGCTAATATTTGAAAAATCGCACTTATGCAAATATTAGCAAAATCTTTTGGCACACTTATGCCAATTCGCACATATGCCAGCTCGCACTTATGCCAGTTTTTGTAACGCTTCGCAATTATGCCAGCTCGCACCTATGCCAGTCCACACATATGCCAATTTGCGTTTATGCAGCCTCCCCAAAAAAATATTCAAAAAGCTGTTGACTCTAGGTTTTAGGTTGTTTGAAATTAAAAATGTGTTTTTAATTTTTTGCAAGAGCCATTTGTATATTTTTCTTTTCAAAATTATATTCTCTTTTTAATTTTTTAAATTTCCTGATAAGTTAACTTGTGATTAAATGACTGAATTTTTTTAATTTTTTTTTGTTTTAATAAATAATATAGTTTAATTATTATATTTAACTATATTTAGTTATCTACTTAGTTTCTGTTTAATACTTAGAATCTTTAAGTGATTGGAGCTCATGGAGTGCTTGTTCAGCAACTTGTCAAAATAATGATGATGATGATGATGATGATGATGATGATGATGATGATGATGATGATCCAGTTAAAACAAGATACCGTACCTGCTTGAGGTTTGATGGTTGTTTAAATGCTGAACTTACAGAAGCATTGGCTTGTGATCTAATGGACTGCAGAGGTTTATGCTTTTTTTTATAAAAATGCCTAATCGTAGATGAAATATTTTTATTGTTCACGTTCACTTCGTTTTTTTTGTTTTTTACTATACCACCTCAGCATAATTTATTTAATTGCATATATTATAAAACCAGTATTATTATGTAAACAATTTATATATACATATATATATATATGTATATATATATATATATATATATATATATATATATATATATATATATATATATTATATATATATATATATATATATATATATATATATATATATATATATATATATATATATATATATTTGTACATAATTTATATAAATAACTTAATGAAAGTTCAATTAATTGGTGTATATCTGCAAGAGTAAGTTTAGTTCGAGTTTTTAAGTCATCAATGTCAGCGTTTAATATATTAATAATAGACGGAATTGCTTTGTCAATGGGTATGGATGGATAAAAATAAACTATATCAAGTGAAACTTGAACTTCGTTAGGATCTATTATCCATTGCTTAGCTTCATTTAAAAATCTATTAGAATTCATAAGTCTACTATAATTTTTATTCAAAATCAGTTGAATAATTTTAACAAGATAATCAGATGTTAATAAAGGTGGTGTGTTAATTGTTGAAACAACAGGGCGCATAGGGTAATCTTTTTCCGGTTTGTGAGCTTTAATCATTCCGTAAATCCTTGGTTGGTTACAATCTAATGGATACATTTTAAACTGTGTATTTGTGTCTAGTTTACCCTCTTTTCTTAATTTGCACAATTGTCTTTGAAATTTAGTAGTCAATGTGGATGTTGGATCATAATCAATAGTTTTGTTAATTTTTATTTGTCCTTAATTTGAGAGATGCATCATTTTGGTTTAATAATACGTAACCTGTGCCTTTATCAAAAGGGTATATCTTAATATTAGAAATTTTTTTTAATTTGCTTATGGAAAGAAGTTGTATATATATATATATATATATATATATATATATATATATATATATATATATATATATATATATATATATATATATATATATATATATATATATATATATATATATATATATATATATATATAATATATATATATATATATATATATTTATATATATATATATATATATATATATATATATATATATATATATATATATATATATATATATATATATATATATATATATATTTATATATATATATATATATATATATATATATATATGAATATATATATATATATATATATATATATATATATATATATATATATATATGTATATATATATATATATATATATATATATATATATATATATATATATATATATATATATATATATATATATATATATATGTATGTATATATATATACATACAAATATATATATATATATATATATATATATATATATATATATATATATATATATATATATATATGTATAACTTGAAATATGTTTATAACCAATAAGTAAAAAAATTAGTCAACAAAATAAGCAATAAAAGAAATATTTTCTTCTTTTAATTTTACAAAAATTATTCTATAAATTTTGGCACTAGAGGCTTTTCAAAAAATCATCAGTAGTGCTGTTTTTGTTATAATAACAACAAAATTTAAATTTTTTTCAATAAACAGGAAATGATAATTATTTAATGTTGCTGTTGGCAACTATTGTAATCTATATTGTAATGTCAATTAAAAGTATCATGGTTTTGGTTGTGAAAATGTTTCTCATAAGAAATTAGGTTTTTTTCATTTTTTATCTCCACAAGCACAAAAAGCTGGAAAAAAGGTTCTATAATGGAGTTATGCGCACGTTGACAATTGTATACATGGTTATCAAATCTATCTGTTGATTGCCCAGTTCTACAACTAGAAATGTGCCCATTAGTGCAAAGTCGTAGGTTGTTTGTTTTTTCGGTGTATGTAGCTTTCTTGTTACAGGACAAACATTTTAAATAATATATTACATTCTTATTATTACAAGTAATATGGCTTTTTATGTTCCATATAGTACCATTTGATGTCGTAAATGATTTAATTTCTTGAAGGTAGAATTTACATATTTTGCAACGATTAACATTGCACTTAAATAATCCTACTTCTTTAGTGGTTGATTAAATTTTTGAAGAAGTAAGTGTTCTCAGTAGATTGAGTGTAACTAAAGGAAAATTTTCTTTTGATTGATTTCGGGGAGCTCGTCCTTGGAGTTTTGCGTTGTGAAATGCTTTTTCAATAATATTATTAGGATATTTGCATTCTTTTAGCCACGTTTTTAGTTCTGCTAAACGTTGTTTTTCTTTATTGGAATCAGATGTGAAAACAATTATTCGTTTAGCAAGGCCATAAGGGATGTTCTTTTTTATATGATAAGGATGATGGCTGTTGTAGTCTACTTAATATTTAATATTATAAGTATTTGCATCTATTATAAATGCTTTGCCCATTCTGTTTTAAAACTGATTGAATTATCTATTTCGGTCAAAGAGTTTTTAAACTTAACGATATCTAAATGTTTTGGCCAGATTAAGAAACCATCATCAATATATCTATAATAAAATTCCTGTATGTCATTTACATCTTTACTGGAAAAGTATTTAGGTAAAATCTTAGGAAAAACTCTTGTTTCTTCTAAATATCCAATTGTTAGGCATGCATAATCTGGAGCGAAATTCGTACCCATGGCTGTTCTAATAATTTGATGCCGAAACATTTGGTCGTTGAATAGAAAGTTGTTGTTTTTTAAAATAAAGTATGTTGATTCAATGATAAATTCAGGAGTAAATCTTTTATCTATTAAACTTTTATGTTTTTTAATCCAGTACTTTAATGCTTCTATACCTAGGTTGTGTGGAATACTAGTATATAGATTAAAAATGTCAACTATATGAATACAACTATCCGAATTTAACGCTCTTGGTATCTTTCTTAAGAAATCCCCCGGTGGGAAATCGGCTAGCAAATAGCTAGCGATATTCGTTACAATTAAGACAGAGATTTGGCCACGAGGATCGTTAGCTTTATAAGCTAGCGATCCGTTAGCTAAACAAGCTAGCGAATAGCTAGCGATATTCGTTACGATTAAGACAGCGATTTGGCCACGAGGATCGCTAGCTTTATATGCAAGCGATCCGCTAGCTAAACAAGCTAGCGATATTCGTTACGATAAAGACAGCAATATGGCCACGAGGATCGCTAGCTAAATAAGCTAGCGAATAGCTAGCACTAAGTCGTTACGATAAAGACAGCGATTTGGCTAGAAAATCTCGGCTAGGTTAGAAGATATGCTCAAAGAATCGCGTGCTATATTTTTCAGGGGAGTGAATTATAACCATTAAAATAAGATTGCATTTATAACAAATTAAATACAAAATGTTAATACTTGTTTCCATAAAAAGTTATAAATGTTAAAGCCATTATAAAATGTTAAAAGAAAAGTTATAGATTACTTTTGAAAAATAAAAAGTCATTAACAACTAAATGATTTTGCCTAAATTAAATTAATAATTTCAAAAGATATTTAAAAAGATAATAGAATAAAATTTCTGTCAAATTTTAGTTTTTTTTTTTTAAATCTTTATTAATTTTCGAATATAACTGCTAAAAAAGTTGTAACAAATAAAAAATCTAAAAAAAAAAAGTCAATAAAAAATAATAGAACAAATAAACAAAAAAAATAAGTTAACTGGAATCACTACATGAGTCAGTGTTTAAATTTCTTTTTTTTTCTAACAGGACTGTGTATTTGTATATCACTTGTTAAAGAAGAACTTCTCTTTCTTGCAGCAAAATAACGATCTTTAGACTTTTTCAAGTGTTTCGCAATTATTATAGTCATACTGGATTCAGTGGCAGTTGGAAATAAACAGTAAGCTGCATCAAAATTCAAACTTTCGACTGGTCCTATAAACCTACACTTTTTATCTGCACCAGTTCAATTAATGCTGCAGCACAGCTTGTCTGTTAAACAAGTTTTTAAAGCATTTTTTAAAAAGTCACTTACATTTCTCCCATCAATTTGCTTTAACTTTCTGCAAATGATATCTTTATTATTAGAGTTAATTATTTTATTTTCTAGTGAGTCAAACTCTTCAACTGAATTAGCTGGTAAATAATCTATATTAATATTTTCTTTATTACCATTATTAGTGTCTAAAATTGAACGCATGGAACGCATTTCTGTTTCCAACCCACAAAGTTTTCTGTACACGGAGTTCACTATAAATTGTATGCCTTCAACAGTATTGGGTTCAAAATTTGCTTTCCGAATAAAGTTATTTATTTGGTCTATCCCAGTTTTTTGAGATGGTAAAGAAAAGGAAGAAGATGAATGCAGTAACGGTTGAACTTGTGAAACAGACTGCATTTCTGATGGAAACACTATCTGTGTAACTGGCAAGTCATCTACTTGATCCATTGAGGCAGAGACGGACAAAAAGTTCTAAACAAGATTAACAATGATTATAAATACATTCACAATATTCTGATTATATTATACTTTTTTTTTTTAATTAAAAAATGGTAACTAAAAAAAGCAAACAAACCATAAAAATGAAACAAAAAAAAATATTATTTTTACGAATGGGATAAAATTTTAAAATGTATACTGAATCAGAATCAGGAAGCTTTGGTGGCTCCCACAATGGTAACGATGGTAAAGGAGGTTCTTCAAAAATACATTTTTTTTTCTCTTTCTGTTTTGCTGACTTAAAGGAGTTTTCTTGTGTGTTTTTTTTGATGTATTAAAATCAATTTCTACTTCTGATTCTGCAGTAAGAATATGCTAAAAAAAATAACTTTTTCAATATACATACAATCATAGCTTTATACAATATACATATCATAGATTGTCCATGCAATA